TCCCTGGAAAGACAAACATTTTTTGACTGCCTTGGCATCAATCCCTGTTTTCTATCAGACTTTCTTCCTTTTGTCCTTGAATGGTTTCTTGGGTTTAGCTGTCCCAAGGTGCCTCACCTCCAGTCAGGAATCAGTTATCTTAGATACTGCTTGCTGCCCTCCACTTTGTGCTGTAGTCTAATTCTTTTCCTGTCCCTTACCTTGTCATGAAGTTATCCCCTCTTTGCAAATTCTGCTGCTTCTGCTCCCTTTTCCGTCTCCTACCCTGCCTAGTGTGAGGTTTGCTGTCTCACTGGTGTGTGCCCTCTGGTGCTTGATAATCTTATCAGTTTCCATACTTATGCCTATCAAGGGTCATCATTTTATGCTGCCCTAGAGCAATTTCCTTCCCTGATGTAGAACTGTTTTAGTCCTGTCCCTTGTGCGCCACAGAATGGATGCTGCTTGACTATCTTTTTCGCCTCCCCTCATGCAACTTGATGTCCTTCCATTGCTATTCTTGTCTGTTCCTCCCCATTCCTGTTTTACTCTCCATCCTGTGACTTGCTTAGAAGTGATAGTTCTTTCGTTTTTTACCCCTTCCACTCACAGCACAGCAGATCACAAAAGTGGATGTGTCTCATGGCTTGAAGTGATTTCTCCCTGCCCTGAACTGACTTCCTCACCAGTCCCAGCTGCCCAGGGACCACTTCTCTCTTATCTTTGCCTGACTAATGTGATTTCTCCTTCCTGTCATGCTTGAACTCAAGTGACTTTTCCTGCTTTTGCACATTAGACCAATTTCAGCTGCACTCTAATTTTAGTCCCTTTCCAAGCCTCTGCAGAGGTGTCCCACCCACCAGGACAGTGATACTCTTATTTTTATTACTTTTATTCTCCTCCAACCCTGTTCTCAAACATAGACTGAATCCTTTTTCTATTCAGTAGCAGTTATCTAGACTCAAAGAGGTATAATTCTCTCACCCATCTCGGAAGGGCAGTTTTCTCCTTTTGTCTTCTCTGTCCAGATTAGGGCAACAGTTTCTTCTTTTCTCTATAGGTTCAAAGAACAGAGATACAATTTGCAAGTGTAAGCCTCAGTTCTTCCTGACAAGGAGTAAGATTTGCAAGCCTTGCAACAGGTGAGCTTTTTTACTCTGTGTGCCCTGCCACTGAGTACGAGAGACAGCAGTCATGAGAGCTCCACAGGGGGAGAAAAGTTTTTTCAAGACTCTTTCCATCTAGACATAACTTTACAACATTCTGCCTTTCTGGGGCAATTAGTTCCCCTCTGCCACCTCCAGTCTTCTCCATGTAGGCATTAGCCCCCTAAGAACCTGAAGTCACTAGCCACACTGCATTGCTCTGCTTTGCAGGCTCGTTTTGGCTTGTCTGTTACTTAGGATGATTGCAAATGGCTAGTGTTTCATTTCATACACACTCACCTCTCTGATTCGCTCTTTCAGCTGCATTGGAGAGGAATGCTTGCAGTGTCATAGCCCACTGACTACCTCACCAGCTTCATCCGAGTTGAGTGAGTACTTGGGGAACTGAGGGGCAGTGTGGGCTGTTGTTGCCTTTGGTGAAGTGTTGTTATTTTCCACTCTCTCAAACCATTACTCTTTTTCTTTCTACCATTTGCATGTCTTTACATGCTGTTCTTCCTCTAGCACTTACCTCCTCCTTTCTTAGTCACTCATGCATTTACTCTCTTTCTTTTGTCCAGATAGGACCCTTGTCCTTGGCATTCTCCTCCTTTCTTAGTCACTCATGCATTCACTCTCTTTCTTTTGTCCAGATGGGACCCTTGTCCTTGGCATCCTTGTTGCAATATTTGGAGGTATCTCTCTCTTCTACATTGTAAATAAAGTAAGGAAGCTGGTCCAGGAAAATGGGGAAGTGTCATCATTCTACTCCTGTGGTGAGTGCAGCAGCATGTGCAGTGACATTGATTGGGATAGACATCATTCTCTGTGTGTTTCTGTATGCACACACTTGTGAGGGAACAAGTGGGATCCCATGACTCTGGTGCAAGGCCAGAGAAACACATAAACATGATAGCTAAGGTTATTGTTACGGTTCTTACAACTCTGCTTCCATGACCATAGCTGTGACTGTGCATGTGAGTTCATTGCTGGGACACATGCATTTTGCTATAAAAGCTTTTTGAGGACAGGACTGTGAATAGTTGCTTTGCTGTTTTTTTGTGGGATGAGAGGAAGTGAAAATAATGTATGCTTTTTTTTTTCTTTGAAGTTTCTTTGCCACGGACAACCAAGGAGCCAGTATCAGAGGTGAGCAGGATGATGGGTGTAAGAGCTTTCTTTACACTTTCAACCGTATTAGCCTAGGATTCAGAGTCATCTTCCCCCCCTCCCCGTGGGCTGTTTTCAGGCCTTGTCTTTTTTAATGAGCGGAGCATTAGGGCTGTTTAATTCAGAAGTATTTTTCTGTACAGGGTGGAGCCATTAACATTTTACTTCCCCTGTTCTAGAGCATGCTTTTCAAACTTCTGACTTTTGTCTTTGTGCTTTCTGGAGGCATTTTGTTCAGCTAGCTGGTCCTTAATCCTGTTTTCTCTCTGTATTCCTCAAGTTTGGAGGATTGAACTAATTTTATTGCACTTCGGATCTTGACTCCATTAGCCTCTCAGTGCTGCTTCACAGTGTTCTCTCGGGTCCAGTGTAGTTCTGTAAATAAGAGGGTCCAAGCAGGAGTTTAGGTGAAGTTTCCAAAGCCTCACAGAGAAAGCTGATGGGAAAGGTGGAATGTGGAACTTCTTGAATGGCAGGGATTTGGGGTCCCAGCCTTACTTGATTTTGCAAAGAAATATTTTTTTCCAGACTACTGGGGTTTATTTTCTTTTTTTTTTGTGCCAAAAGAGAGTGAAACATTTTGGGTTCTGCTGGAAAGAAATGTTTGATGTCTTCTGCTCAAGCAAGGCATATAGGAAGAATTGAAATCTCAGCACCTTCACCCCAACTATCTTGGATAAATTTTAGTATATAAAGCTAGTGGTTACTTGGCAGAAGACAGGTGTGTTGTGCTGCTGTGGGTGATTCTGAACTAAGCAATATGTCTTTCAGGTTGAGGCAAAAAGAAATGAAATTTCCATCCTTCTTCCTGAGTCCAAGAAGGAAACAGAATCGCCAGTGAATGCAACATCATTTGCACCTTTGCCGCAAAGTTCGCATGAGTTACCAGACTGTGTCAGACCTGCCAGGAAGGCACAGCTCCCAGACAGTAAGTGAAACTCCCCCATCCTTCCCTCCTTCCTCAGGCAAACAAGAACCTGATTATGGAGATCCAGGTAGAATTATGCTGGACAGACCTTACCTTACCCAGTGAACATGACCTCTGTGTACACTTCATGCATGGCACAGTGCAAAGGCAGAAGCATGCCCACAGCCTGTGAGGCTGCAATATCTATGCAAGGCCTTTCTGTTGTCCCTTTTTCCTTGCAGAAAAATGGATTATCATATCAGTTGACGTGCTGTCAGTCTTAATGAGTCTGGGATAGTGACCCAGACCAACTTGTTTTTCAGGAACGTATGGCAGCAAGGCCCTAAGCATGTGTGGTTTGCTCTGCTCATAACCTTATGCAAGAGCATATGGAAGCATTCCCATTGCATTTTGAGGGATAAGAGCAAGTCTGGACATCACACAATTGTGTGATTGTCCACATGATTCTGTGATTACTTTGGAGAAGACCTGAACAGGAAGCGGCAATGCAAGATTCCAAGGCACCATCTAGCCCTGGATTATTCACATTCTCCTTGTGGCTGCAGAATCTTGGTTCTCAGTTTTTCTTCTCTTTTCACAGACTCTGCTATACTTTACACTGTGGTGGATCATGTCCCACCATCTCGGTGGAAAGAGTTCGTGAGGCGTCTGGGTCTGAGTGACTGCGATCTAGAGCGAATTGAACTGGACCATCGGCGTTTACGAGATGCCCAGTATGAAATGCTTAGACTGTGGAAACTGCAGATGGGCCATGCTGCAACTGTAGAGCACATCAGCTGTGTTCTCAACCAGATGGAGCTCAGTGGCTGCAGTGATGCTATTCAAGAGGCTTTGCTAAACCAGAACTCTCATCAACCTTGCAGCCTTCACAACCATCTTTAATCTATTTGTGCTCTAGTTACCTTTGCTATGACTGTTAAGAGAGGACCATAACTCTCTTCCTTTCCCCATATCTCCCTATCTTTCTAACATTTGTCAGCTGGGTTTATTGGAGATGGCAGCAGATTATGCTGGAGGAAGGCTGAGGTTTGCTTCCCAACCACCATGTAGTTCAACACCTTTAAGCCACGACAGGACCTCTGCAACAATTCCTTTCCTAAGGAGGGAAAGGACCTCATAAGGGAAGTGGTGTGTGGACTCTGACCAAGATGAAAACAGGAGCTCTCAGTGACTTGATAGATCTGCTGCTCTATGTACAAGTTGTTGCTGAAGCAACACCGTGGGGTGGGTAAACTTGTCGGGCGATTTGGTTACTGTTCAGATGTTAAAGTACTCACTTCTTGCAGGTCTGTTTTTCTGCGAGATCAACCAGTTGAAGTGGCTCACATTGCAGCCTTTTGATTGCAAAATCTGACTCGGGAAGTCGTGGGAGGATGTGCCTGTTTCTGGGAGCAGGAGAGGATTGCCCCCTTTTGGTATCAGCTAGTAGTTATCGTTGAGGCAGGAGACTCGTGTTGATTCAGAAATGGTGGCCTCTCTCTGTGAGAAATGGGAGGACATTATCCTTTCCGCACCATTTCCCTCAGGCTCCAGAGGAGTCAGTGAGTCAGATGAGAGAGTTGGTGCTCTTTTCTCAAGTTTCCTTTCTATACTTAGAAACCACATAGGTTAGCATTAATAAAACACCTGCCTGTGTGTTTGTCCAAGCGTGGAGCGCGCAGGAGTGCGTGTATCTCTCTGGGTGAGATGGCAGCACGAGCACCTCTGCGAATCTGTGCTTGCGTACAGGTTGGTATGATCATGTCTAACTGCTTATCCATCTCTGGATAATTCGCAGAATCTAATCTAACTGCAAATGGGACTGTGTATGTGTCTGTAGATATATATTTTAGCAGCTGTTGAATAACTTCACACTACTTCCTGGTCTGCATTCTGTGATTACTACTTGCGTGCGTGAGCTGTTCCGCACCATCTCCAGGCTCTGGCCATCACTTTCTCACTGGTATCACCCTGGGTGAAGCAGAAGTAGCAATAATCAATTAGCCTGCATCAGGTGCAGGTTGTCCACATATTTATAATGTGGAGTTTTTTTAGTCTCTCATCTCTTGACCAGAGAGAAATGTGTATTGTAAATACACTAAAAATTCTGAATTAAAATTATTATTTTTACCTCTGTTCCGTGTTTGTTCAGATCGACTTCTTTTCCGTGACTGTGGGTGGGGGCAGAGGAAGGGGAGTAACTTCCAGAAGTGGCAGGAGTGGGTGGTTTGATGGTCTAATGTATTTTATTTAAAAAAAACAAACCAACAAGTTTTATGTGCTCCTCTGTGTAAACCTTAGCTGACCTCATGTGAGAGGGCAGGATGTACGAGTGAAATTAAACCCTGTTGCAGGTCTGAGATATTCCAAAGGGGATGCGAACACATTTAAAGTGAATTCTAAAACTATATACAATTAATCATGTTTGGTTTTATGTGGCTTTTTAAAGAGGAAGATAACTTTAAATATGTTTTTGTCTGAGAAACCAAAGCACTGTGTTAAGGCATTAAGGACTGGTCCTACTCCAAAGTTTCCTGCTTGAAACTTTGCAGTTCACGACGGATGGTGACAAAGCCAGGAACTGAAGTCAGGCTTAATTCCCTGTTTGAGGCTTTGTTTTGTTATGCCTACACGATATTTTAATTCAAGGTGTTTGGTATTTTTAAATCAGAGACAGCACAGAGCTCACTGTAATACACTTTTTCTTTTGTAGTTTATGTTCAACAAGCACAGCACTGTAACTATCAGAAGGTCCATTCCAACCCCCCAAAAATTCTGTAATTCTACATGCTCTAGAGTGAAACAGTACTTAAAGTGGGGAAATGCTCAGAAATCTTCTCCAGGTATGATATTTATCTATGCCCGGAGTTTTTTCCCCTCACCTCAAACTGTGTCACTTAAAACCCAGGTGTTCCGGAGCTCACGGTGCAAGACAAGCCTCAAGCAGCACGTAGTGCCTTCACGCGGGAATTTTACAGAAATCCGTCATTTTACAGAAATCCATCATTTGACACAAAGCCACAACTTGACACATATCCGTGGCTACGACGCATTTCAGAGAACACCAACTCTCCAGCAGAACGGAGGCGCGTTGGGCGCGTTAACACGTGCGAGTACGACACAAAACACCCAAATATCGACACAACTTTAATTACGCGCCGCTGTTACTCAGCGAGCTCCCCGGGCCCTGCCCGCTCCCCA